AAGGATTCCCGATCAAGTATTGAGTGCATAACTGAACATGATTATTTGAAGGTTGGCATTTTTTGTATTAAAAACACTTGTCTTTCATTGGTGGGATGAAATATGCAAATTTTTTGGGACAGGCATTTTGAGTTTTCATGAGCTGTATGCCATAATCATCAGTATTAAAACAATTAAAGACCTGAAATATTTCAGTTGGTGTACAATGAATCTGAAATATATGAAAGTTACATTTTTATCATTACATTATGGAAAATAATTACCTTTATCACAATATGCTAATTTTTTGAGAAGGACCTGTATATTTATATATGTATGTATATATTCATACTGTATATGTATGTATGTATATATATATATATAATGAAGTCATGAAGGCTGTCATTGTTTGCTGTTGTCTGGAATGAGAAATAAAGTACAGTATGTTATATAGCATAATTTACAGAAACTCAAGAAATGCCTTGTTTTACTTACAGTGTTCGGTTACGGCAAATAAGTAGCCCAAAGACCAATTAAACACATGTGCTCGCACGCACACACACACACACAAAAATAATTAATTGCACACATTTGAGTAAATCTAATTATTTTAATTCCTGTTTAAATGCAATTCATCCTGCCGTACATGCAGTGTCTTAACTCAGATTTTGCCAGCAAATTAAAATGTGACGCTTAATCATTAAATTATTACCATCTTTGTGTTAGATTTATTTATAATTCACATTTAAACGCTGCTTGTACCAATTAAATTAAATAAAAAGTAACACACACACATTCTCTATTACTGTCATTAACCATCTAAACAACCAGCAGCATCAGTTACCTGAGAGGCTGACGTTACATTTTCTCACTTAGAAACAGAACAAATGTAGGATATTGTAGAGACTTACTTTGCTGTTGAGCTCCTTCATCCTCCTCGTGACTCTGACATGTTTAAGTTTCATCAGCGTGTTTCTCCCGTGTCATCACTTTTGCAAACCTGCATGTTACGCTTTTTTTTAGCTTTGTGAAGCGTCAAGTGCTTCCACACTTTTGAGGACTGTTTTTGCTGCGTCGGTCATTTGTAAAATGTACTTAATTTCCTTTTAAATTGCTGCCTCTGCTTCTGCCTCATTCTGTTCAACTCGTGCTACAGAGGTATTTTTTTTTTTACTTTATTCATTTAGCCAGCATTGACAATGCTCTGCGGGTGAATAAAACTACTCCGCAACACCTTGAGAGATGCTTAATTGCGCGACAAAACAAATCAGTAATGAAATTCATTGCAAACACTTTTAATAATCAATTTTTATCGATTTTATCGATTTTATCGATTTTATCGATTCATTGTTGCAGCCCTAATAGAGATATTCATATTGGTCCATATTGCTCATCCCTACTCAGCAGCAAAAAACACATAAAGCCCCCCTTCTGCCTGTGTTCAGGATTTTAGCTCCTGATGTGATGAACAGAAGAAACAAAAGCACACCAAAGAGAACAGTTCTCACCTCTGTAAGACCTGTTCTTGTCTCCAGTCTTGTCCTGCCATCAGCACTCTGCTTGTTGTACCATAGTGGATATTCTGATGGTCTCATCTGAGCAAGAGATGAGTTCACATCTGTGCAGATGTGAACTTTTTGTTGTATTCAATAATATTTCAGAGGTGAGGAACTCTCCTGTGTTCAAGCTGGTATATGAGTAGAAAACAAAGCTTTGAGCCTGAGAGAGAACCCTGATCATAAAGTGTTTAATATCACTTAAACACACTGCATGAAAACTAATAAAAGTGGAACTCTGCAGGGTGAAGCAGCTCTTCAGGTACGACTTTATGACCACAGAGGAGCTGATGTCTGACCCATGGAAGGCAGTGGTCCTGGAAGACTGTCTGGGGATGTATGACTGGTCGCTGGTGGCCAAGTTTTTCCTGAACATCGGGGTGAGTGTGGTCACAGTTGAACATGTTGTTTACTACAGTTTTAAGTCTTTGAAATGAATATTGGGACACTGTGTGGACATCAATGGATTTTTAAAAAATTGTTAATAAAAGTCTTTTTATTGATTTAGTTTTTTTAGAACCCCAAAAAATTAAAAACATACAACAAAATCCCCTCCCACACTATACCTCCGACACCGTATCTTCTACACAGACATTCATACATTAGACAGTTCAATTCAATTCAGTTTATTTATATAGTGCCAAATCACAACCAAGTTGTCTCAGGGCACTTTAAAGGAACATTCACATACATAGAAAAGCCAATTAGTAAATTATCTAAGGAAGCCAGCAGACATGTTGAATCTTCACTTCGTTGCAGTCTCCCATCCTGAGCAAGCACAATGGCAACAGTGAAAAGGAAAAACTCCCTTTTGAAAGGAAGAAATCTCAAGCAGAACCAGGCTCAGGACAAGTGGTCATCTGCTTTGACCGACTGATTTGGTTTGAGAGGACAGAAAGGAGAGTCAAATGAACACAGAATGGTAGGTCCAGATATAAGTGTAGGTGCACCTGAAATACAAAAAACATATGTTAAGGATAGAAAAAATAATTACAAATACAAAGCAGGTTGAGCAGAGTAAGTAAAGACAGTAGCAGAGTGGAAAAAGTGTGGTCAGTTTGTCCTCCAGCAGTCTTAAGTCTATAGCAGGAGAATAGAACTCTTTATGCTACCACGTCACGCTGCTCCTCAATATGAGGATCAGAGATGCAAAATAACCAAAGTGCATAGTTATTTAAGGGGGCATTTTCATGTATTTTGTATGTGGAAATGCATAGGGGATTTCAGGGTATCTTTGTTGCGAATTTTTTCTGTTATTATTTTATTTTATTTTATTTTTTCTTTTTCACTCTTATTGTTTCTTACCTGGGTAAAATGTGTAGTATTTCCATCTTCCATAGTTTGCTATATCGTATAATTGATTTAATATTAAATGGTAGGTAAGTCAATTATTAAGGTCACATCGTGGAATGTCAGAGGGTTGAATAAAATAGTGAAGTTAAAACAGGTTTTAGGCAGGATTAAACTACTTAAATCTCAAATTATTTTTCTGCAGGAGTCACATCTGACAGATATCACTAGAGTTTAAAAAAATGGCATGGACAAGTTTTTTTCTGCCCCATTTAACTCTAAAGCTCGAGGTATTATTATTTTGATTCACAAATCAATCCCATTCAGGCTTAACCAGGAATTAATTGATCCAGCTGGGAGATATATTGCAGGGAACAATATTAGAAACCCAAATCACACTGGTCAACATTTATGGACCTAATGAAGATAAACATCCCTTTTTTAGGAGTCTTTTTCTCACCATATCTACCATGCCTGGAAAATATATAATTGGTGGTGACTGTAACTGTGTGCTAAACCCCGCTAATGATCGTTCAACTGGCATTGATACTTTTCATCTTTATGCCAGAAAAGTCTTGATACAGTTCATAGATGATCTTAACTTAATTGATGTCTGGAGGAAACTACACCCTAACAGAAAAGAATTATCATGTTATTCAAGTACTCTTGAAACATCATGACGCATTGACTACTTGTTGATTTCCATGAGTCTACTACCTCAGGTAGAAGAATGTAATTATGATAGTATAATTCTATCTGACCAAGCTCCCATCTCCTTAACTCAAGGCTTGTACGATGTCCCCCTAGATGGCGCTTCCAAACAAAATGGTTACAAGACCTCAAATTTATTGAATTTCTTGGTGATAACATTGACAAATATTTTCAGATAAATACAGATCAAACTAGTGCAAGTGTAAAATGGGAAGCTGTTAAAGCTTAGATTAGAGGTATGATCATAAACTATACAAGCTTTAAATCTAAGATTCATTTTGATGAATTAATCAATCTTGAGACTCAGATTAAAGTTTTGGAGTTGGATGTATATCAAAATGATAGTCCAGAGAAACATAAAGAGCTTTTGCTGTTGAGAACTAGGTACAGAGAGCTTTCTACTAACAAAATTGCAGCAAATCTTCTTTGGTTGAAACATTCTTATTACAACCAAGGTGACAAGGCAGGCAAAATTCTTGCATGGAGAATTTAAAACATGCAAACAGATAGAACCATAAACACAATTAAATTTGCAAATGGAAACATGGAAATAGACCCAGTTCCAATTAACTACTCCTTTAAAACATTTTATGAATCACTTTATCAAAATCAGAATATCCAGAAACCACGCCTGAATTCTTAGACCAATTAGATATCCCAACTATAAAAGATCAAGATAAGATTGAACTGAATAATCACGTAACGGTTAAGGAAATGTTAGAAGCTGTTCAGAACATGAGGAGTGGGAAAACCCCAGGACCTGATGGGGTCCCTGTTGAGATTTATAAACTATTTCCAGAAAAATTACTCCCTCCATTACTAGAAGTGTTTGAAGAGGCATATGAATCAGGAATTCTGCCACCAACTTTACGGTCTGCACTAAATTACCTTGGTTCCACAGCCTGGCAAACCACCAACAGAAAGAGGATCTTATCGCCCCCTATCATTAATGTGCTGCGATACTAAGATACTATGCAAAGTTTTGGCCAGAAGACTAGAGTTGTGCGTTCCATCCCTAATTTTTAATGATCAGAATAGTTTTATTCCTGGGCATCAGGCATTTCTTAATATACGTTCATAGAGTATTGAATATATTACATGAAAGGCGTGATGCTAAAGATAATGCAATCCTGTCACTGGGCGCCGAAAAAGCTTTTGACAGGATTGAATGGAAATATTTAATGGAAGTCTTAAGGTTTGGGATGGGAGGAAAATACCTTAAATGGGTGAAACTTTTATATACAGAACCAACAGCGGAAATGATAACGAACAATAACATATCACAAACATTTAGTCTTTACAGAGGCACGCGGCAAGGTTGCCCTTTGTCTCCTCTTTTATTTTTGTTTGCTATTGAACCCCTGGCCTTTGCCATCTGACAGCATCCAAAAATCTCTGGTGTTAAAATAAGAGAGCTGGAGCATACTATTTCGCTTTTTGCAGATGATGTCGTTATGCATCTGTCCAACTTGAATACATCCATTCCAACACTTGTTGACCTAATCAAATCTTTTGGAGCATTTTCTGGCTACAAAGTTAATAGTTCAATGTCAGTTATATTATTTTTGAATAAATATGAAAGACAAAACCCAAAAATATATACTCCCTTTTCAGGAGGGATTTACAAACCGGATTCCAAAAAAGTTGGGACACTAAACAAATTGTGAATAAAAACTGAATGCAATGATGTGGAGATGGCAAATGTCAATATTTTATTCGTAATATAACATAGATGACAGATCAAAAGTTTAATCTGAGTAAATGTAACATTTTAAAGGAAAAATATGTTGATTCAAAATTTCACAGTGTCAACAAATCCAAAAAAAGTTGGGACAAGTACCAATAAGTGGCTGGCAAAAGGAAATTGAGCCTATAACGAACAGCTGGAAGACCAATTAACACTAATTAGGTCTATTGACAACACGATTGGGTATAAAAAGAGCTTCTCAGAGTGTCGGTGTCTCTCAGAAGCCAAGATGGTAAGAGGATCACCGATTCCACCATTGTTGCGCAGACAGATAGTGCAGCAATACCAGAATGGTGTTACCCAGCGTAAAATAGCAAAGACTTTTAAGTTATCATAATCAACCGTGCATAACATCATCAAAAGATTCAGATAATCTAGAACAACTGCTGTGCGTATGGTTCAAGGCCGTAAAACTCTACTGGATGCTCGTGATCTCCGGGCCCTTAAACGTCACTGCACCTCAAACAGGAATGCCATTGTCAAGGAAATAACAGAATGGGCTCAGGAATACTTCCAGAAAGCATTGTCAGTGAACACAATCCACCGTGCCATCCGCCATTGCCAGCTGAAACTCTACAGTGCAAAGAGGAAGCCATTTCTAAGCAAGCTCCACAAGCTCAGACGTTTGCACTGGGCCAGGGGTCATTTAAAATGGAGTGTGGCAAAATGGAAGACAGTTCTGTGGTCAGATGAGTCACAATTTTTGAAGTTCTTTATGGAACATTGGGACGCCATGTCATCTGGACCAGAGAGGACAAGGATAGCCCAAGTTGTTATCAACGCTCCGTTCAGAAGCCTGCATCACTGATGGTATGGGGTTGTATGAGCACTTGTGGCATGGGCAGCTTGCATGTCTGGAAAGGCACCATTAATGCAGAGAACTATGTTCAGGTTCTAGAACAACATATGCTCCCATCTAGACGTCATCTCTTTCAGGGAAGACCCTGCATTTTTCAACACAATAATGCCAGACCACATTCTGCAGCAATCACAACATCATGGCTACGTAGGAGAAGGATCCGGGTACTGAAATGGCCAGCCTGAAGTCCAGATCTTTCACCTATAGAGAACATTTGGCGCATCATAAAGAGGAAGGTGCAACAAAGAAGGCCCAAGACAATTGAACAGAGGCCTGTATTAGACATGAATGGGAGAGCATTTCTATTTCTAAACTTGAGAAACTGGTCTCCTTTGTCCGCAGACGTCTGTTGAGTGTTGTAAGAAGAAGGGGGGGATGCCACACAGTGGTAAAAATGGACTTGTCCCTACTTTTTTGGGATTTGTTGATGCCATGAAATTTGGAAACAACAGATTTTTCCCTTAAAATTATACATTCTCTCAGTTTAAACTTTTGATCTGTGATTTGTGTTCTATTCTGAATAAAATATTAGATGTTGGCACCTCCACATCATTGCATTCAGTTTTTATTCACAATTTGTTTAGTGTCCCAACTTTTTTGGAATCCGGTTTGTACATATTTAGGAGTCAAAATAATTCCTGAAATTGAGAATATATTCTCACTTAACTATGATCCCATAGTACAGTCTACAAGTGGATCTTTGAGTTGGTGGATTTCAATGCCGATCTCTATGCTAAGCTGTATTAGTATAATAAAAATGTCAATCCTCCCTA